TAATCACACATTACGAATTTGTGGGATTGTTGTCCAGTTTTGTTAAAATGAAACATTTGTGGATATCAACTGCTGCCTGAATATTCTTGTATAGTGACTCTTCCTCAAACCTTCCCCTGACTTTTGGATCAGGTCTGTAATTTGGACAGATGTTTCCTTTATTGGACCTACCACTTGTTCCTTGGAATATCAGCAAAGGTCAGCAGCTTGGCCACTGATACATGGATCCAAGTTTCTCAGTTATCTTGTCTGGGACAGCAGGTGGCTCCTTTTCAAAAGTGCCTTCCAATTTTACAGGGTTCCAGTTTGGAACACTTTTCATCTTGTTTTCAACAGCAAGAAGCTCCATCAAACAAAAGTGTTTGGCTCCCTTGTGATCCCTTGTAGGTTGCGGGTTATTTATGCACCCAAAATTGAAGACAGTGGTGGTGTAGAAATTGGGGGTATTGTTTTTGTCACCTTGTTGTGTAAAGAATTCCTCCTCAGAAATGTGCTGTGAGGCTTCAGGAATATTTTCATAGTGTTTTGAACAGGAAAGGGAGAGTAAATTGTGTGTTTATTGGACCTGATAAGTGTTAATTAGGATTCTGTTTATGAGCACATTTTCTCTCAAGGTGAGCCAAAACCTTGGCGAAATACAGGAGTCCTGGTACTTCATTGGAAGCCTGTTTCTAGCCATGCCTGTGTATTATGTGGTCTGCTTCTCCTCTTCCTTAAGGATATTTGCTCTTCCTAAGTCCTTATTCATAATCCCCTCGTTTTGACAGCAAAATTGATTTCATGGTGGTTTAATTCTGCTGTTAGAAATAAGAGGTTCCTCTCTCCAGTGGACAACAGGAACAAATTCATCCTCTGGAGAAATAAGTGTTTCTGGTTTTTGCATGAAAACAAGGTGAAGGAGTGAATGTGTAGGGAATTAATAAGCTTCAGTAGAGTTGTTCCATGATGGCAAAGACATCTTTATTCATTGGATTCTCTTCCTGCTGTGGAGGTTTGGAAGCTCCCCTTCCTTGTGGGTCAATAACCTGAGGCTTTGAGGTGAGGAAGCATCGTGGGCCTTGTGAGGTCCTGGGGCAGCATCACACAGATTTTGGCAGTGGTGGTGATGCAATAGCTGGGAAAGAGGCAGACTCGAGACTTACTGCCTGTGGGCAAAGAGCTGGCTGGATAAATTCTGGCTTCTGCTCGTTTCCAGCTGCAGCACTGAGCTAAGGAACCCAAAATAGATCCCTTCCCTAGAGCCGGGTGAGCCCCGCGCGCTGCGTGTCCGCGCTGGCACACGTGGGATGGAGTCACAGGGAAGGCAAACAGCCTCTTCAGAAACGGCCTGTCTGGGGAAAAAGTATGGAAAGCTGTGAAAGGTGGGCAGGCCCAGAGCCAGACATGTTCCTGGGAGGATCCCAGGAGTTGTCTCTGGATTTACCCTGGATTTAGCTGGAGCAGGCAGTGGGAGCCGGTGGCTGTGACACTGAGCAGAGGAACATTTAATCCCTTTCTGTTCCTCATCTTTCCACCTGTAACAGAAGGATAGAACTTCCTTTATCTCCAAGCTCCCAGGAGTCTGTTTAGGTTGCAAGTTCTTTGAGGAAAACACCTGGCACAGGCAGGCCCCTTTGTCAAATAGATGCCATTGTCACCCCTGTAATTGGAAGGTCATTCATCTGCCCAGCAGATCTCTCCCAGTTTCCAGATCATGACCTCCCTCAGGACTGGTTTTTAACAGCTATGCAGACAAGCTTTCCTATCTCCCAGGAGTTTCTGAGAGACCTTCCTAAAAATTTCATTTTATTTCAATTTCTAAATTTTATTTTCTCTCCGTATAAAATTCCTGAAGGGTTCAGTTGAAAAAGCATTTCATTTTATTTTGAACAAGTAATTTTAAATTTTTATTGAAATACTACTTTTCAGCAGCCATCTCGCTTTTTCAAAAAAATTTTATTTTGCTCTTGGAAATATTTCAGACTGGGAGCTGATCCAAAGATGACCTTTCCCCACAGACAGATTCAACAAATCAATATTTTTCCAGTGCAAAATATCTATCGTTGGAAAATCCTCACTGGCACTTTTTGAATGCTTTGCAGACAGAGGCCTGCCATCTGAAAGCTGCTTGCTGAGTGTAGAATTAGCAGTAATACAGTCCTTTTGATGGCTTCTTCTGTATCAGTGTAAGCTCTGAACTGCCACTCACATACAACAACTTCCTTTCAAGTCCTGCCATTTCTCCCTTGGATATTTCCCCACAAAGTTGGCTGTTTAACCATTAAAAAGTCACTCACTGCGACTGGTTCCCTGTAGCTCTGTTTAATGGGGAGTTTTGTTTGGGTTTCTATTGTAGCCGAGGAGGGTACACGATCTCTTTTGAAATGAGCTATTAACATGATAAAACATCTTGGGAACACACAATAGCAGAGCTGATGGTTTAATCTTTGCTGGGGTATCTGAGAGCTCCATTAAATGCAGGGGACTGCACTAACGAGGGCTGAAGCTTTGTAGTGGTGTGGCACCAGAACACAGAGCTTTTTCTGTAACTGTTTCCTGAAATATGCTTTGCATTTAGGATTCTGAATCAAACATAGGGATGCTATAAAAATCCAATGTTTTCCATACCTCGAAGATGGGAAGTTTCAGAAAGGTTGGTGTTGCTGAAAGAGATGATTCCTTTTTTCCTCTGTAATTCTGTGTGTGTATACATATGTATATATATGTATATATATATAAGCACAGACACACATATATATTTATATATACACAAATACACACATGTGTGTGAATATTTGCACCCTCTGTATCCATAGTCTGGGCCCAGTCCTGGAGTTCTGCAGGTACAGACATACTTTTTGGGGCAGTCTCTGCCCATTGCATCCCCACATCATGGCTCATACCTGGGAAATGTTAGCTGGCTTTAGCACCTTCCACATTTTCGTGGGCTCTGGAGGAGTTCTGCATGCTAACTAAAACTGTACAAAAAGCTGCTTCGTTTTTATGACTTTTGTTTCCATCACCACCTCCTTCTACATCAAAGAGGGGAATTTAACCCTAATTTACACACAGTTATGATCCAGGGACTTGAAGCTGAACCTTAACAAACACTGGCCTTGCCTAATGCACAGCTCTTTAGCCATGGTGCTCATATGTGTCCAGGACAACTTCTTTAGGGATGTAGGGAATTCCATTACATCTTCAGCCAGGGTGTCTTTCTGAGAGAAAACAGAAGCAGAGGGTTTCCTTCTGGGGGCAGGATTTTTGTCTGGATCATTCAAGAGACCAGGCTGGAGTGTGTCTCCTCACATTCTGCTCTTATGCTTTGTGATTTTATGAAAGAGAGGAACTGAAGCTTGGAAAAGTGGAAATACTTGCTGCCTGCATCCTTGATCTCCAGAGCTTCCCATCATTTTACACACCAGTATTCCCCGGCCACCGTTTGGGAGGAGACCTTGCTGGTGGTGCTTTCACACTGTGGTTTGTTGCCCAGATTAGTGTTCTTTCTGTAGAACTTTTGGGCAGTAATTGATGTACTTTTGGATTTTAGTCCTCTCCAGAAGGCAGGGTTTTCCAGAATCTGAGATTTCTGGTGTGGAACAAAGGATTTCTCAGTAAGCTGTGAAATCTCTGCCCTGTCAATGTTTCTGCCTGGCTGTACCTATCCATAAAACTGTGTGATGTCCTTATGGCTAATTGGTGCTTAAGTGCTTTCAGAGCTGTGGGTAAACCACTAATTAGTCACACTCATTTAGTCAAAATTACTAATGCCTGATATTTTCCCATATGCTCTATTAGTTCAGGGAAAATGTCTTGGAAATTCATTGATTTAGGCTTCCCTGGTGTATTTGCTGGTTTTTGTTTGTGTGACGATGACTTTCTGTGTTGTGGTTAATACAGATGTCACTGAATTGTGCCGTCTGCTTCCAGATTTTGGGTTTAAATAGTGCAAAATCCTCTTTCCAGAAAGAAATGTGGAAATAAATCAGGATGCAGATACTGCTGGGATAACTGTTTTGTTTCAGTATGTTCTACATCATCACTGGGACTGGGATTTATCTCGTCTGCACCCTCTCTTGTACTGATCTATTTTATATAGACATGATCAGTTTTATATAGACATACCAACATGCCTGTACACAAAACACACACATGCCCCCACAGTCTCTTACATTACACTGGGAAAGAACCATAAGGTTGAAGTGTGTTGACTCAACTATTTAATGAGGTGCAATAAATCTTGACAAGACCAGCTGGCACTGGAGTCAGGCTTCTCATCTTTTTACCATTACATTGAAATGTGAACAATAGTGGAAAGAAATGTAACTCTTCTTTTTCTTTTTATTTTTTTCTTTATTTTTTTTTGATACTCAGCTATGTAGCACTGTACTGAAATCATCCACTTCCATGGAATGCAAAGCACGGTGGATGCTGTGGAAAATGTTAACGATGCAAAGGCCCCTTTTGCTGGTTCTTTTTCTCAAATTCTGAGAACGTGTTGATCTGGCAGATCACAGAGCTGTGGTCAGCACTGACATCCCTGCACACATGCTGGCTCCTCCTCTGCTGCACAGCACACCATGACATCCTTTCCTCTTTCTCATTGCCCCTTCCCCCAAGGTGCAACACCACCCAGGTGCAGCAGGGTGTTACTTGAGTATCTTCTTTAAAAAATAGGACTAATTAAGCATCTTGGACATCTAAGCACGTGGCGTCGTTCCAAGGCACCCAGTTTGGCCTCTTTTAAGGAACCAGATTTATTCCTGTGAAAAGAAATCTGTTTGAAAAACACACTTCTTGTTTTGGGTAGGTTCCTGTCAGTGGCATCCATCAAACTCTTTCATGTTTCCAGCCCCACCACTTAATGCCAATCGAGCCTTAAAAAATAATTGCCCCCAAACCAACTGGATGCCTCTGGATTCACTTGAGAAGGTCTGCCTGAGCTTTGAAGTGTATCCCATAACGATAGCTGACATCTCCAGAAGGAATAACTGCCCCCCCCCCTTGCTTTGTCATTGCAGCATTTGATGTGTGCTGGGCTCTGGTGCCTGGTGGAAGGAGATACCTCCTGTAAAACCAAGTTGGACCCCCCTCTGGATGGCACCGAGTGTGGCGCAGACAAGGTAATCAAACTGCTCAGCAGCACTTCTTGCTTTCCAGCATTGGGAATAATGTTTCCAAGATGTTCTGGATTTACCATAAACCTGTATTTTCGACTGATTCTGTTACAGAAACTGCTCAATTAACAGCTGGATTGGGTTAAGTCTTCCTGATTTTATATTTAAGTGTATTTCAGTAGCTTCTGGAGGCTTCAGTGGTGAAGTTGTTGTGGTCAGGGCACTCCACAAACTGCAGGAGAAGCCCAGGGCTCGCTGCTGAGGGCACTCCCTGCTGTCACCTCTGCTCAGTGCTGCTGGTGGGGTTTCCTCAGTGAGGTGTTTTTCAGTGTGAGCTGAGCTAGTTGTGTTCTGGGCTGTATTTGAGGTAGAAAGTGAGCATTTGGGGAGTGGAGGAAGATGGGGAAAGAAAAAGAGGCTACTTAAAAACTTTAGTTTCTAATAGTAGCTCAAAATGTTTGAGCTCAAATTCAGTGATGTTCCCTTATTTCAGAGGTATAATTTGCTGTATATATTTTGGAACTTGACTGGTTTGGTAACTGCCACCCACCACTTAACTGGTTTTGGACTCTAATATTTTTTGTATATTGTATGGTTGGGGAGGTAAGAAGGGGTAAAATTAAAAAGGCTGTTGCTGAAATCAAAGGTTAAAGAACTTTGCTTGCAAATAAACAATGAAAAGAAAAGCTGGGCCCTGGAAAGCGTGACAAGGAAACTGAGACAAAAGGTTTTTAGATCTGAGTTTTTGTAGCTACAGGAGTCCTGGTGACTCTCTTAGCAGTGTCACATCCTGGACAGGCCAAGTTTGCTGCTTGGTCAGGAGCCAGCCACCTATTAGAATCAAAGAGGTTTGGGGCTTTAGCCAAGTTAGGTCCAAAATACTTCAATTATTTTGTACATCCTGGGAATAGTGCTGATGAAGGCATTGCTTTGGGGTATAATTTCTTGGACTGGGTTTCTATGAATAGTGGGGCTTTAAGTCTTAGCACTTAGGTAATAATCTGCTTTATAAAGCAAGGGGCTCAATTCTGTGATTATTTTTTTTAATGACAGAACTGCTTTCAGGGGTTTGTTGAGAGTGACACTTAAAATTTCTGTGTTTCACCTCCTCCCTCTCTCCTTCTCCCACCTCCCTCTCACCTTGAACCTCTAGAAAGGTAAACACGGGCTTGTCGTAACCCCTCAGACACCCTTTGAAGTCCACCTGAGCAGGAATGTTTGCAGGATCAGGGCTCCTTTGCAGGCTGTGCTAACACAGTTCCATTGCAGTGGTGCCGAGCTGGGGAGTGTGTCAGTAAAACCCCCATCCCTGAGCACGTGGATGGGGACTGGAGCGTGTGGAGCCAGTGGAGCATGTGCAGCCGGACCTGCGGCACCGGAGTGCGCTTCCGGCAGAGGAAATGCGACAACCCCCCGTAAGTCTTCACTTCCTCGGGGTTCTTTCCACGTGTAGCACTTGGACAGTCCTTGCTGCAGGAGTGCAGGGAGGGAACAGGCAGCAGAGCTGTGCAAAGGCCGTGATTTCTCCTTCGCGAGCAGCAAAACCCAGGTCAGAGTTCCTGGAGCGGCTTGGAGTGAAGTGGGTTTTGTGGAAGCGGCTCAAAGGGTCACCACTGGAAGTGGCCCCATTGCAGTGTTTCAGACATAGATAAAATTGAATTGAAAACATGTAGTTTGGCAGAAAAAGTGGTGCTGTGTTTGCTCTCCAGCACTGCAGTGAATGAGGGGGGGCTGATCTGGGTCTACAGGCCAAACTGAGCCGATGTCTTGAGAGATCAGCTTTGCAGGGAGTGCTGGCTCTGGGCTTGGGAAGCAGAAGAGTGGCTGACACTGGTCATCTCAGTGTCCCAGAGCTGTGTTTGTAAAGCACCTTGAGTTATTCTGTATGGCAGGAAGTGCTGCATAAGAAAAGGAAAGTGTTCATACACACAGAGTGCCATGGGTGCTGTTTAGCTCTTGAACAGTGACTACAAATAATCCTGTGCTCTCTGCTTGGCTTTTTTCTAATTCAGGAGAAAATGGAAGTGTTGTTATCTCCTATGTGCTGTCCTTCATCCCTCAGGTCAGCTGAGGCCCATCTGGAAGTCTCTTTCTCATATGGGAGGCCTGAACAGGTTACCATGGTGCCATTTAACTGCCCACCCTGTCTGTGTGCATTATAACTTCTCCCAGTCTTGAGAGCAGCCCTCCAAGCACTGTACCTCTCATTTTATTCAGATTTTAAGTTTTTCTCCACAGAAAAATCACAGGAAGCTTTGCTTTTTAAATTGGGGCTGAAATTCTGGCTCACAACACAGTCCCTTTGAAGGCATGCCTGGATGATGGATAGGCTCACACTGGCTGCTGTTGACCTGTATTCATGTGAAAGGGATATTTTTGTTTATTCCTCTCCTTATATAACACTGAGCCGCAGTTGAATGTCTGTAATGTCCAGGTTTGATTTTTACCAGCTGATTTTCCTGAACAAGGATCTGAACTGGTTCCTTTGCTGTCAGCTACAGTGCTGACCAAACCTTAATCCATTCATCATCGTTCCTTCAATCACAGGAAATGCTCCCTCCAGCACTGCACACAGATTTTAAAATTCTCTTGCTCATATACATTCTTGGCTGGGGATACACACGTGATCTTTTGCTTCAGATTCCTGGCATCAGCCCACTCCTGCAGCTGGTTTATTCACTGTCCAAAAACATTGGCTAAGGGATTTATCTTTTATTTTATATATATTTGGTCTTGGGATATTTTTTTTTTAACAGGAATCTTTGCTCCTGCCAGCTGACTCTTGAGCCTGTGGGACTATCAGTATTTTTCAACCAGTTGCTTCACTGTTTGATTTGGTTTTTCCTCTCAGTAATTTCTTTGAGCATTTACATGCATTGCCTCCACATGGTTGTAAGGAGTGTGTCATGAGCCAGTGTGCACGTGCAGCCTTTGGAGTTGTGCTGCCTCTTGCTCTTGTCTGGGCTTTGGACTCTTGCTGTGCAGGGGGATTGAAGAGAAAACCACTGGCTTAAAGAGAACATCTAAATGAGGTCTCCACGCCTTCTTCAGTCCCCTCTTGTCGTGTAAAAGGGTCACAGCAGTATAAATGGGCTTTGATTTCTTCAGTTCCATTAGTGGGTGGATTCTCTTGGCATAAATACAGTGGAAGGTGGCTGTGAAGTTGTCTACCAGGAGATCTCACACAGTCACTGTTTGAGGCGTGTGCCAAGGTGGGCTGGAATTACTGTGTTTATTGGAAATCCCGGGCAGTGCTTGAGCTCACAGTACACAGGGCTTGGGACCTGGCATTACAGAGATCCTTCCCTTTGGATTCTTTTCCAATGCCCAAACTCGTGGCCTCAGCATTTGGAAAGGTGGAAGGGACACAAGGATGAAGCCACAAAAATGAAGTGAAGCAGGAAGAGAAAGATGTAGGAACAAGTGCTTGGTAATTGTCTGTGGGAGACCAGAGAGAGTGTCTCTTGCTGTTCCTCTTGCATGATGAAACCTTCAGGATCCTTTTTCAAGGCCTGTGATACCAAAATACTATTCCAGAGGTCAGTTACATAAAAATAAAAAATTCTATATTCCCAACCCAGACAGAGCATGGCAGAGCTGTGTGCTGTCCAGTTCTCTGACAGCCTGTCCATGTCTGTTTATCTGCTTGTCCTGAACCCCTTGAATAAATCCTGGATATTCTTCTACTGTTTTGCAAGGGTTAGTGTAGTAGAAAGCAGCAGTGTGCTACCAAAAATATGATGCTGTTGGACAGAGGGGAGCTGAGCTGAGAAGGTCCAGTTGGGTATACAGTTTTCTTTGTAGGGTTACTGGGAGTAGAAACTTGCCCTGGATCTGCAGGATACTCTGTTGTTTTATGGCTGATGAGTGCATGCAAGTCTTCAAGTTTGGGAGAAATTACATTGGGGGAGGCAGCTCATTTTACTCCTTAATTAGAAAGGGAAGACAGGCCGGGCTTCTGAAGGGCAGAACAGAGGAGCACTGGACAAAAGGCCTGGAGTTCCTGCAGCTTCCACTGTCTGGGAATGGTGGGTGCTCCATAAGTACCTTTCTTGATGGATTTAGCTGCTACTTTAGTATTACCAGTGACCATATTGCCAACAGTGAGAGCTGATTGATTCTAGTCTGCACTGGCAAACTCATGGGAATTCCCTCATGAATTACTGACATCTGAAGATAAAAACCAAAGCAGCTGCTGATGTAAGCAGTTGTCCTGCTGTGTCTCCTGCTCCGTGGCCATCCACTTGATCCTCTGCTTTTGAGAGGGTGCTCTGTTACTCTTTGGGTGTTCTGACTGCTCCCTTTTGTTATTGTGTTTTCCCTGTACCCACAAACATGCACAGTCACCTACATCCAGTGGCTCCATCTCCTCTGCTGTAGCCGGAGGGATGGTGCTGAAACCAAAGTCTGTGTGTCTGGTGTGTTCATGTGAGTGCAGGGTCTGTGTAGGAAGGAGCCTGTGTTGTGCTCCCAGGCATCTGGACACAGTATCTGTCCCACAGTCTGAGGCACAGACAATCCCCCCAGAAGGTTCTGCAGCACTCCCAGCACAGCTTCTGCCTCACACGTGTCCATGGCAGAGGGAGGTGTCAGCAGAGCGTGTAGGCGATGTCCAGGCTGTGCTGGTGACTCTCTGTGATGTTCCAGTGTCACTGGAGATCAGCATTTCCATTAAAAAACACCCCAAACACTCGTTCTGGGATTAATGGAGCTACTGTAAAAATTTGATCTAGGCTGGGATTTGGCATTAAGCTTTTCTGTGAAGAATCACACATTTCTGTTGCACCAAATGCTGGATTCATCCAGGCCAGCACAGGTAGGAAATCAAAGGCCCAGTCCTGTGGCCAGTGGTACATGAACAGGGCAACTCCTGCTATGACCACTGACACAAATAAATGATGTACAATGAGGGCCTTGCTTTCCAATTAGCTGAGTGATATAACCTGATGTTCATTGCTCTTCAGGGAGGGAGGGGGGAGAAGCTTTTGGAATGAACTGCCTTACTGCTAAAAACTGGAATTTGGCTGGAGTTGCTTTTTATAGCCATCTGTTAAAGAAGAGTAAGAACATGACCTTATCCATCTTCACTGATTACAGCTGGGGAGAGATAGGTATGTGACAAATTCAGGAGAGTGTTAGCAAGTAGCTAAAGAAATTATCTGTTAGGATGGCCGAGTCTTTTTTGTTTGTTTGTTTGTGTATTGTTTTATTTTGCAAAGAAAATGCAGGCTATTGTTGAGAGTTTGAGTTTTCCTTCTTCTCTGGGGATTCATAAATAAGAACAAATAGGTTTTGCAGATGCTTAATCCCCATGTTGGAGTAGTTGCCTTTCCTGCATGTTTAGAAAACAAATGTGTAAAATGGAATGGTTTTCATGGGTGGAGATTATCTGCTGCACAGATTTTTTTCTGGGTGCCCTGTTTACAGTGCAGGTTGTAGCTGCTTCTGTGTTATCTTAATTTCAAACTGCTGAAGACAACCTTAGAGGACATGTGCTGAGCAGACTTGATTAAGAGTGTCTGAGGCAGAGGCAAAGCAAATGGTGGGAGGAGAAAGGTGAAATGTTCTGGGTTGCTGCCTCTGCCTTGGGTGTTTGGTGCTGACCCTGGTTTGTCTTTCCTGCCATAGCCCAGGGCCAGGTGGGAAGAACTGCCGTGGAGCCAGCGTGGAGCACACGGTGTGTGAGAACTTACCCTGCCCCAAAGGTGTGCCAAGCTTCAGGGACCAGCAGTGCCAGGCCCATGACAGGTACACCAACAAGAAGAAAAGCCTCCTGACAGCTGTCATCGTTGATGGTGAGGTTTTTTTCATCTTCCTCTGGAATTCTTTGCTGTTCTTTCACTGCAGCTTCTTGATTTCGTTTGCAGGGCTCCCATTTGTTGGTAAGAAGGTTAGAAAATGTCCCCCTAAGCTGCAACTGAAAGACTTAAGTACAATGAGTTGTTCTTGGTGCTGCCCTGCTGTTCTTTGAGTCTTCTTAACAGAACATACAGAGCTGTCAGTCCTTTGCTCCTCTTTCTGTAATGCCGGGAGAGAAGTGCCTTAACTTGATTCCCAGTCTGAACAGGCAGGTATTTGGGCATTTAAACATTAGAAAGTTCAAGTTAGTTTGGAACTGAAAAAAGAGGGGTTCCCTGGGACATTTTTGATATGTGTCAATTTTGGGCCTGTCAGCATGATTGCCTGTCCCACCTACATTCCTTTAATGCTTCCTGTGCTGGATCTTGCTGTTCATCTGCTATTCAACCAGATTTTGGTGGATATGAAATAATGTCCTTTCTGGAAGAGTAAACATCTTTCCCTGCACTCTGCTGAAAAGCACACCAGGCTGGTCTCACTTGGTCATCCCAAAGACATCCTTGCACAGGGGAGGGTGGTGTTGGAACTGACACCAGAAGACCAGACACTGGATGAGCCCTTCCCTGTGCCAGCACTGACAGATGAGCTCTGATGCCAGGACAAGAGCACAGGCAGCATTTCAGTTCCCACAGCAGACCCTCCAAGAGCACAATTCCTTCAGGCTGATTTTGCTTGTTGTTCCCCTCTGCCCCACTTCCTAAATAGTTTTGCTGGATGAATGCACAATACAGAGCTACTTCCTGGACTCATTTCAGTCACAGAAAACTCTCCCAGTTTTTTCCAGGGGTGAGCTGTTTCATTCCTTTCTCCATTTTCAGTCAGGAACTATAGGCTGCTGAGGGTCTGTAGATTCTTCCTTGGATGAAGTCCATGAGTAGCAGAATCTGCTCCAGAGGAAAAACATTATATTGCCTAAATATCTGTTACTTAAACATATGGCAGAGGCAGTCAGCAAACCCTGACACTGCTGAATGCTGCCAGTTAATAATACAAATGTTTGAAAAGGCTTTTTTACTTAACTCCTTCTCTAGCTAAACACAATAGTAGCTTTTCCAAAGTGATGTCTTAATAGCTAGTGATTGTCATTAGCATGGTGAAAGATACAACTTTTCTCTACTGATGTATTTGCAATTATTTGGGGGTTCTTTCTCTAGCAGTTCTAGCAGCATAGTTGGCTGCCAGGAATGTTTGTAGGGCCACAAATACCAGTTTAAGAAAATAGTAAGTAATATGAATGCAAGAATGCTTTACATGTGGGTATATAAGTGTTCCTACTGGCACACTGATGCAAGAAGTTGGTCTATCAGGAGGAGAAAGGGACTGGAGAACTTGTTCTTCTAAAATCAGTGGCTGTATCCTGAGACACACACACAGTCACTTGATCATTCTTCTCAGACTGTTGAAAGTGTATTGACTCAATGGTTTTCTGTACCTTAAAAGCCCAATCTCATCAGTGTAACCCTTTGAATATTGATATTTGGAAGTGGGGAAATGCCAGGCCTGAATTGACAGGCTGATGTTCCTTTGAAGATGAGATACCCAAAGCCATTCATGCAGAGAATGCATCCCCATTGCCTCAAACACTTGTCTGTGCTGTTCCTAAAGGCAGATGTTGTGTTTCTTTTCCCAGATAAGCCATGTGAGCTGTTCTGCTCTCCCCTGGGGAAGGATTCTCCCGTGCTGGTGACAGACAGAGTCCTGGATGGGACTCCCTGTGGGCCCTACGAGACCGACCTCTGTGTACATGGCAAGTGCCAGGTGGAGTAACCTTCTCTTGTTTTATTTCTAGTGTCAGGTACAGCCTGGGCAGCCTCTCTGGGAGTGGCTGGGGGGCTGTCTGTGAGGTGAGCACAACCCTGTTTTATCAGACCCACTACAAGTGCTCCACAGCCCTGTGTCTTGGGTTAAGAATTAAAATGCCCCAGTTATGATATTATTGCTGAACAGCTGGGAATGTTCAGTGATCACATTTGCTTGCGTGTAGTCATCAAATGGCTTGGGTGGGAAGGGACTTCTGTGAGGGGAGCAGATGGGAGTGGAAATCTTGGCCTGCTTAACTGCTCCTTTTTGGCTATTAGAGGAATCACTGAAAAAAACACTGGAGCTGCAAACTGGATTACAAATTGTCACTACCCTGTTACATGTGGTAGGTTGCCAGAATTGGATGCTTTTTAGGTCCACCCGGTTCCTGCCTGGAAACACTGAGGAAGCTTTTCAATACCAGTTGCCCCTTGTTTCCTGCAGCTGCTCGAGCCAGTAGCTTCCCCTGTGTGATTTTTGTTGACTGTTATTCTGTGATGCCAAGGTGAGTTACTGTAGGGGCCCATCAAAGCTGTTCAAAAGGCCTGTTGCCCTTGCAGTAATGAAAAGGGTCCCTTTCTCCCACAGAATTAGATTTAAAGCTCCCCCCTAGAGAATACAGGTTTGAAGAGCAGATCCTGCAGCCCTGAGCACAGACAAAGCCAGGGTTTTTTGCCTCTCACTTGGGTCACATAAAGAGCAAACTAGAGAGTATCTAGGGGAGGTTTTCTTCTGCTGTCCTGCAAATGGGACAATCAATATCCCCTTGGTTGTCCTTGGATGGACTGGCCAAACCCTGAACATGCTTTTTCCTTCTGCCTCTGGTCAGACAAGTCAAGGATGGAAATGAAGAGGATTCTTCAGAGTCTTCAGATTTGGTTCTCTTTTCCTTAGAGTGAAGGTGTGATGGCCTGTAACCACTGCAATGATTATTTCTCTCTAAGTTACATACAGAACCAAAATTAGGTGTGGGAGATCTTTGTAATAAAACTCTCCTGTTTTGCTGGGCAGTGAGACTGTAACAGAGCACACTGAATGCTTAGGGAGGGCATCTCTTAGAGCTGGTGTTACAGGTCCCTTGAAAATTTAATGGAGTTGTTAGACCCATACTAACTGGAGATTTAAGGTGTGGACAAGGAAAGGGAGAGAAGAAAATGTTTATTTAAAGATCATAATTGACAGGAAGTCATTCATGGGTGTTCCTAGTGATGTGTTGCAGTTGGGTTCAAGTCATTTGTCACAGACACTGTGACAGGGCAGACACTTGGTGGGTTTTCTCTCTCCTAATCATGTAACGTGTTCAAAGTTTGCTGCACACACAAGAGTGGTGTGAAAGACAGTTCACTTGGCTACTGCAACCCTGTCAGTGCTGGATTATTCCTGGCAGTTCTGCTTCTAAGTTTCTCCTCATCTAGATTTGTATCCTGTGGTAGGACTTCCTCTTTGTGCAGGGCACACCAAATCTGGCATTATTCTGATTTCTGTGAACAGGGACTGAGAGCCACTGAGTTTATTGCTTTGAGCCTTCCAGGCAGGGAGATGGATAAGCACAATATTCACCTGAGTGTAAGAGAGGCTTTGGAGGCATAAAGCAGCTTTACTTATAGCAAAGCAGCTTTACTTATAGCAATGTAGAGAAGTGAAAAATCTTTGGATTGAATTCTGCACTGCTGCAGGAGACACTTCCCACTGTTTCCTGTCAAATGCTGCTGAAGAGACATTTTTAATTCAGTCTTTCTAATTTGAACAGCAAGAGTCTGGGAGCCAATACAAGTTTGATTCTTTATAATTCAAAGTACTTTGCATAGAGCCAGGTTCATGGGGCATCCCACGTTACTTAATTTTTCCCTGTTTTTAGCTGTATCTGAAAAAAAAACTGGAAAAAAACCCATTAATAACCTTTTATAGTCGGGCCAGCTGTGCACCTCCAGCTGTGTGCCACTGACCATTCCTCTGGGCTGGCCAGCTTTACTGCTCCAGCAGTTCAGAGCAGCCACAAGTGGTAAATCAGACATTATGGCAGTGTACGTTTGCTTCTTGCAGGGAGGAGCAGTAGCTCCCTCCAGATGAATTCCTTGATGAGCTCAGAGCCTTGGAGGTACCTCACGAGAAGCAAATTGCACCCTGAGTCGGGGGCAACTGCCTGGGACTGTGCAGGGAGGTGCTGACAGCTCAGAACAGTCAGTCCATTTGCATCTGGCTGAGAAAGAATGCAGAATGATCAGCTGAAGCTGAGCAGATCTGAAAGCCTTGGGAACTCATTTATAACACTCCTCTGCCTTCCATGCAGTGCAGTGCTGAGATTTGCCATATGTGCCTGTGCACCCCATTTGCCACAGATCCCTGTCTCACCAGCTGCCTGTTAAACCAATTGAATTGACATATTCATTTAATTACTCTTCTCCTTATTTCTTTACCCAGCATAGACAAAGCCTGGCAACAAGCATTGCAGGGGGCCTGGAGAAGAGAATAAGTGCTGAAATCAGAGGGTGGTATTACTGTTATTTATTTTCTTATGTCGTCCTTCCAGCTAAAGGCTCTTAAAGGCAGGAATGGCACACTGTCAGTGTAACAGACAAATTAGCAGTAACCATTGCCTGTGAACATTTAGTCTAGGAAATGTAATAGATCTTTTCCCTTCATTAGATGCTCCTAAATGGAACTCATGCATCATTGTTGGGTGATGAATGGATGTAGATGAGCATAGCAGAGAAAAAACTGCTGCAATGAGAGGAGGGTTTTGAGAAGGAAAGCAGGAACAGATTCTTTGAAGCATTTGGGCACTAAGGGAAGAGAGTTTTCCTTCAGTTGTACTTCGGGAAGTTATTACAGTTTCATTTTAAAGCCATGAGCTGAGCTCAGATTTAAACAGTATGAGTGAAGCCTTTTGGTGTCAGCCTTTCTATCCCTGAAACAAAATCATCCCTGTATTTATCCCCTACACCTAAAGGCAGCTGGAATGAGTAAACTTGGTTATTACTTTGATCAAGCCTAGAAGCACCAGAGAGCAAAGTCAGCCCTAAATTTAGCATAGGAGTTCCTAAATCAACTAGACTTTTTATAATCTTACTCCTTTTTTTTTCTATGAATCGTAAACTCTTCCTCCAATTTTGTCATGTCCTTATTTATTAGAGTTGATTTTGAGGTCGAACATTTCAAATGCACTTATCCTTACCACCTCCTGAGCAGACTGGAACCCCTGTTCACTGTGGATATAGGGATTTGACATTCCCTTCTTGAAGGGCACATGGTCCTCTAGCAAGGAGAATTTACTTTCTCCATGGATTTTTCAGCCACAGAAAATCTGTAGCAGGCTGCAGAACAAGAGGAGGGTGAGGGCTCCTCTGGGCTTTGCAGGTTTGCTTTCTCAGTCATTTCAGTCCTGGTGAGACAGGGCAGGGCAGTGCAACCTGCAGCTCACAGTAGCTTTATCTTCTCATATTTCTCTCCCAGTGACAAGTGGCTTTCAGAGAGAGGATTCCCTGAGGGTTTTGTTCTCCCTCAAGACTGTTGTGCGTGCGTTCCATGAGGGAACGCTCGTGGAAGCAGAGCCCTTTCTGACCTCTTACAGACCTTCACTCTGTGCTGCTGAGGTTGACACAAAACTGAGGCAGCAGCAGAGCTAAAAAAAGTGTCAGATGTACCAGGGCAGTGGTGTGAGGAGAAGAGCAGCTGCTCAGCTGAGTGTGGTGACACGCAGGGCTTTGTGCTGGCTTTTCTCAAAGGAGGATTAGTCTGAGACTCATGATAGCATGAGAACTTTCCAGTGGGGGCTACAGAGTCTACTTGAGGATGTAATCTAAGGTCTCTTTGAAAAGAGAGACCTCCTTTTATAGCAGGACTGGGCTGGAGATCAAGGGCAGTCTTTGCTGTGATTTAACAGTTGAAGAGGTGAAGATGTTTTGGCTCTGTCTGTGGTTTTCTCATTGATATTTTGTCATATCACACCTCCTTTAACTTGCTGGTGAATCCACAATGATAATAAGCCACATACTGGACTGTCCTGGCACAACAACAGTGTTATAGAACTACTTTCTTTCCAAAGTGATTGTCATACAGTGTGAAAGGGGAGCATAAACTGGAAAATGGACAGATTTTCAAAAATAATTTCTGCAAACTGGTTAGGCAGAGTGGCAGCAGAAGGCCACAGGTGGCAGAGGAGAAATTGGAGTGGTCTACTGGACCTGCTGCTGGCAAACAGTTTTCTACACACTCAGTACCCACTTTTTGCATTTGATTGACACATCCAGTTCTGGCTTTGTCTCCTCACTTGAGTATTTTCCGTGTATTATTCATATTCCTGCACCACAAACTGTGGTACAAGATGTTCCAGACCGGGTAGCTTGTCTCCCTACAACAACTTGGCTTAGCATTGTACTTTGATAAATTATTTAGTGTATGTGCACAAAATCCAGGATTGTCTGAACTACAGAAACCTGTTGTATAATTGCCTTTTTTTTCCATTTCTGGGTCTGTAGCCTTGTAATCTGAGGGCTAAAAAGAGTATCAGGGCTTTTGGTGAGTAAAGTGTAGTGACAAAACCAAGACTTTGTTGATATCTTACTAGTTTTTAAATGTACTTTACAGTGGGGTGTGAAAAAAAGTAAAACAAGCTGCTTCCCCTTATTTTTCTTCCATGTTATCCCATGAAAAGCATGGAATAGAACAGAAGCAAAGGAGTTCCTGGGATGGGAAAAAGCTTTGTATTATTTGCATGTTCTCTCAGGAACACAGGGGTTTTGACACATAACCTTCAGTCTCTATATGTGAATAAGGGGTTACCAAGAATTATTGTTTCTAGAACCCCACGAACTGCTGAGGGATCTAAGCACAGAGTCAATGGTCAGGTGTCACTGGAGATCCAAAGCAGATGAGATAATGCTAATTTAAAATAGGCAGTGTCCAGCTCCTGTTCCAGCAGAGCTGCCCTGACTCACGTAAAATCTGAAGGCTTGGGAAGTTACAGGAGGATATTTCCTGAGCTAAATTCTACATGGACTCCAATCCATCACCCAAAATTTCTTGTGGAACAGAAATAGAAGTAACTCAGAGATGAACTGCCTGATTAGGGACCAGGACTCCTCTCCTGTACAAACCCTCACAGACACTCACAACCCTCCAGAAGGGCAAAAGTGTTTAAAACAGAAAAATAAGAATTCTCTTCCCCTCAGATCTGAATTTCAGTTGTTCCCATATGGACACTCCTGTTTCTTGTGGTCCATCCCTGGAGGTATCAATGGCCATTGGATATTATGGACAAAAAGAATTGGCAGTGTGGGTGAATCTGTCATAACCAGCGTGCTCTGTACATGATTAATTTGTAAAATGGCACATATTGCATCAATATTTATATTTGATCCATTGAGACAGCTAGTTAGTTCAGCATATGGGAAACATTACAGTTTTGTGAGCCTACAATGTCATTTCTTACACAGGGTGGGTGTATATAACAAAAATAATTGTGTTTATGTAGCAAAACATACTCACACAGGCTGTATCAATTGAGCTCTTGCACAGCCATTGAAAATACAAATAAAAATATCATTAAAAAATAGCCAAGCAATACAGAAAATAGTTCACACAGAAGAATCCAAATGATCTGTATTCAGAAGAGAAGAGGAGTTTTCCTATGCTGGAGCCAGCAATGACTGAAGCTGGAAATACCACCCAACAAGCAGTACTTTCAGATGTTTAATTATAAAAATGAGAAGAAGGGGGAGGGAGAGAAGGAAGGGTGGACTGAGATAGCAGCTTAAAGAGAATTAATTTCAGGCCTTTGGCTCAGCAAATGTGCAGTTACCTGCCAATTTATAGGTCAATGAATAGTTCCAAAATGTGGTGTCAGAGTAGGAGACTGCCTGGGTTGAGGATGGATTGGAAACCTGTGGACACATTTCTGACTCTCCATGCTGAGTTCTTGAACCCTCAAAAGACTTATCTTTATGTTTCTTGTCAGCATTTCCATGTTTTAAAACTGCTTCCCTTCTCACCAGTCCATTCAAAGCTGATGGAACTGAAAGTATCCAGCTCTTGTTGGATGGGCTGGTCCACGGACTCATGGATAACTCCTGGGTCAGAAAACACACAGGATGTTACTTAAAAGGTCTTTCTTTCTTCAGGATGTAAAGCTTCCCCTTTCTGCTTCTCAGTTTGGTAAATCCTCTTACCTTGGTTGGCACTGGACTGTACAGGGAGCAGCACAGAGCAAGTGAGAGATGGTAAAGATCAAACAACTCCCTTGAGCCATTTGGGTTTTAAGGAATTCTTTCTGCACTATGAAAACTTGACTTTTGAGCAGTGGAGCTTAGGATTTTTCCCCTTGCATGTGGTTAATTAAGCCCTCACTTTTTGGAAGGCTTTCAGCAGGTTGAGGACAGCTCTGTAGTTTAATGATTGGCAGTCAAACACAAACAGCATCATGTCAGTGAGAAGCTGATGATGGACAGACTCGATAGTTTGGTGAGGCTCCAATTTTTCCACCCAGTGCTGGAATCTCAGAGGCTTTCACACCTTGGAGAAACCTGGAAGTATCTCTCAATTAACAGCCCAAGGACCAGCAGGTGCTTTCCTCTCGGAAGGGAGTGTTTTGCTCTCCCAGCCCTGTCTCTTTCCCTTGTTTTAAGAGTGACTTTATTTTCCATGTGGAAAGTCCTCGAAGGATCTGATTGACTGAGGTGGTCACTGTAATGTGTTTCTAAATGACTTTACAGCTTTTGGAATCCATTGTCAAATCTTAACCAAAGCTGTTTCATAATGTACTATTATTAAATGTACTGTTATTAAATGCACTTTCAGTTTGGAAATGGTTGGAAGGCTTGGGGAGAGGGAAATGGGCTTTAATATTTACGTAGACAACAGTAAAGTGCTTCCAAGGTATTTTTCCCCCATAAAGTATCAAGAATGCACCAATTTTCATCTTGAAGCCAAGAAAGAAAAGTGTTATGTTCTCTGAAAGATTTTCCTTTGTAAGAAGCCATTTCCTGGCTCAGATCTGTTGGGGGCTTCAATCCTCAAGCCCTGGATTGAAGAAAATCAATCCCTGTGAATGGGAGAGATGATACTGTTGAAGGGAAGGCTGCAAGGACTATTCCCAGTTCCTTCACTCACAGGGAATTAGGGTGAAAACAGCAAAGGTTTTGGGAGTTATATCTGTGAATTCAGTGGATGCTCTTTCCATGCCCTCAGAGAGGGTCTCTCAAGTCCAAGAGTGTCATGACCAAGTAGATGTGGGAGGAGAAGGCTTATCTGGTACCCCAGTGTCAGAGGAGGGGGATTCATTCTTCCCAAGGCTTTGCTGGCTTGCACTGGTTCCCATTATCTGGGAAACTCCAGTGTAAATGCAAAGCATGTGATTGCTAACTCCCCATTCTTCCCCTGCCTCCGTTAGAGCCCTGCAGACTCCTCCTGGAGCACTGGGAATAAGTGCGGTTCAACACTCATTATATTCCCTTTATTCATGTGTGTGCTCACATAGTGCTAATAACAATGCAGCACAATAAAAGATAGCACTAGAGCCTGAAATGAAGCACAGCCTTTCCAGGATCCCAGCAGGGTGGCAGGCAGGCATTTATTTCCAGCTGCCTTTCAGCAGCCCCGTTAATAAATCATGCCAATTTTCCTGGAAGGAGAACTGCTGGGACATCCTTCTGTTCTGGGGGCAGAATCACATTCAATATCCCAAAATTATTTGTTGGACAAGGGTGTGAAGTTGAAACTTGAGAATTGCAACTGCCAGGAACTCCATGCTCTTCTTCTTACCTTTTTCAACTCCCCTTTATGGAGTTTTTTTTCCCTGAAGTTCTTTGCACCCCCGTACGTGCAGTGCTGGTTAATGAGCAGCATTTCCCTGCTCTGTGTTTGGGATGATCAACCCTTCTCAGCATGTGTCTGCCTCTAATGATTTACCCAGACAAACTCTGCCTCAGCACACGTCTGAGCACTGGCAGCCTTTGATCCCTGAGCACATCTGGACTCAGGCAGTGGCCAGTGTCTCCTGAAACAAGCGGAATGTTGGAGTTCAGCTCCAAATTACTTTGCTTACACGCAGACAGGCTCAGATAAACAGCCCAAGTCCTCTTAATATTTCCCTGCTTTACCCTATTTTTCAAAATGTTTGTTGTTTTGATTGTTCCCTAAGATATCTCTCCAACTTTCCCCTGGCTTCATTATAACAAGGCAAAGAAGGGAGAGACCCGACAGCCTTATTCAAATAAGTCTTATTAGTGACAGTCCTGCTAATTCATTTGCCAAGAAACTGTTTATCTGCACAGAATAAAACTTTAACTCATTTTTAATACTGCAATTGCTGCTAATAATTTGCATAATGACAACTCTTATTTCAGGAGAAATTTATGAATAAAGAGGGAATTGCTGATTCTTTAGAGGGTCTTACATGGACAGAATACAATTCATGTAGATTAATGACAATAAGTCTTGTCAACATCAAGATCTACAGATGTGGAATGTTCACCATTGTAACCTGCAAATGCTTTGTGAATAAGGAATATTATGGTGATAATCCCGATAGGTACAGGGAGAATACTGTGACTATTCTAGGAATTCCCATCTGTGGAAGCAAAACTTCAGGTTTTTATTGGAAGAAGTTTAGGTAGGTGTACAAAATGATGAAAATACCATTTAAAATGAAGTGAAATTGTTAGAATTTATTATTTGTTTTACAATCAAATGTCTATGCTTACTACAGTGCAAGCACATGGAAAATTTCATAATTGTGTAAGCAATTTTATGGTATGAATTGGCCAAATATGAACCTGACCTGCTTCCATTGAACTGCTCTTGCATTGCAGGTATTTTGAGCCATCTGATTAATGAGCTCTTTTTTCAGGTATTGCAGAAGTGTAAAGAGAACTGAATGTTACCTTTCCTGTTAAGATCCCCATCCAAAACAGAGCTCATTCAGTGGAATTGTAATTACTCTGCATTTTTGTGCATTGAAGGGCTATGACCAGGATATTTATTACTTGGGTTAATTCTCATTTGAGGAGATCACATTTTTCTCTTCTCTCTGTGGTCCATTTCTCTGGGATGTCTTTGAGCTCCTCAGATGGAAATTGCTTTACAAACTTGAAACTGTTGAGTTTGAAGGAAGTTAGAGTGGGATAGTATGAAATCTGTGATGATACCTGGAATAACTAGTGTTTGTGAGACTCTCTCCAGTTAAATCTAAATCAAAGTTCCTGCTCTGAGTGTTAGAGGAGGGAGCTGCTGAATAACCAACTCACCACCGTTCCAGCTCCCCTGACTCACAGTGTTTCCTTCCCATTCAGGCTTTCAGTCAGATGTCAATCTTAGTCTTGACCTCGGTGTTTAGATCTGCTCTAACCTTGCAAACAAAATAACGGGGACCCTCTGGTTGTTGTCACCAGAAAATCGGCTGCGATGGAATCATTGGCTCGGCTGCCAAGGAGGATCGCTGTGGAATCTGCAGTGGGGATGGGAAAACCTGCAAGGTGGTGAAAGGAGACTTCAACCACACCAAGGGGATGGGTGAGTAAACCCTCAGAGGGGAGTTAGAGTGGTAGTAACAGCTTTTCTTGGATAGCATTGGACTCGTCTGCTCCGGTGAACACACAACGAACACAACCCAAAACACAGCTCACTTCAAATGTGATGCCCTGCCTGCTTCTTATTCACACACCAGGCATTGCCTCTGTCTGAGATTCAGGATGAAGCTGTGTTTCTCATTTTCAGTGCTACTGGTGCTGATGATTTTAAGTAAGAGACGAAATCACAGTGTCTTCTCCAGTGGGAGGGAGGTTGGATTTCAGCACCGTCTTGGAGCTCTTTGGGAGCTCAGAATGATGCATGTTGCATGTTGTACATGATTCATGTTATAATCAGGATATCTCAGCTAAAGGAAAGAGCACTCCCCTCTGAATGTTTTTACTGATTCCCTGCCAGGAATAGTATCCAGTATAGGATACAGGAGCTTCCACTTGGAGTTAAGACATTTCCCTCTCTTGTTAAACATTAATGTATGTACAGCTTGGTGTTTGAATTAGTCTTTGTTCCAGGGTTTCTCTATTGCACTTCTGAGAAACCTGTTATCACTCATCCTAATCAGCCAAAGGCAGGGAAAGCCACCTTCAGAACTTGCAAGCTGCTCCAAGAGGAGGGAATTTTCCAGAAAAAAAATTATTTCACATTCAGTAGATACAGAATTGCCACATTCAACACGTGCTACTCGAGGACTAAGTTCCACAAAGCACATAAAGATCCTCTTTAAACACACACTCAATTCTGTTTGGTCACCAAAGCAGCACCAGTGCTCAGCAGCTTCCTTTAATTGAGGTTTCAGCACTGAGGTCTGAGGCTCTGATTTGTTTGTTGACCTCTTCCTCTGCATCCTCCTCCTCATTACCTCTGGAGCCAGCTGGGATCTGGCTCCTCCTCTGAGCTGCAGGTAGGATTTCCCCCTGCACCACATCTCTCTGGAGCATATTTGTGCTGTGGCATTGCTTGGCCAACCTGTTGAATGGCTTCCATTAGTGCCTTTGACTCTTTTGTCCCAGTTATTTTCCACCTACTTATGTCAAGGCATTTACATTTGATGCAAATGGTGGGAAAATTTTCATGTTTCTATTGAAAAAAAAAGCTACATTTCTGTAGCAGACTGTAGAGCTTTCATGAACTTCTTACATGCTCCTGAAGAGAAACTATCTTTTATCTTTCCCAATGAGTCCACAAAACATCTTGTGCAGATAACTAAGAAATTTCTGGGTCACTGCCAGGAGGTTGCTCCCGTTTCCAGCTCGACAGGCTGCTCCAGGGTGGTGACTTTACAAGGCTGTTGGAACAGAACAGTTTGAGCCTTAACTGGCTGCCAGGACACTGCAGGAGCTTTCACCCCCAGAGCCCTGGAGCCCAGTCAGAAGGGATTCCTGACTGGCTCAGGGATAGTGTTCAGGCATTTGGATTCTTTGCTGATCATCTCAGAATCACAAACCTTTCAAAATGTTGCTTTGTCAGTGCAATGTTTCCACCTTTACCCATCTCACGTTATCTAGAAGATAATTAGGTTTCTTGCCATTATAATCTCATAAACATTTATTGGATATTTTGATTATTTTTTTTTAGTTTAATTTGAGAGGTAATTAAATTTAATGTTTACTCCCATCAGTTTCTATTCACACACTGCTGTTTTGCAGAATCAGGTCCTCAGGTGAACTCACTGAATCTCATGCAGTAGGCAGAGCTCCAGGGCTGGGTCTGGGGTATCACAAGTGAACACAAAGTTATTTAAGAAAAAATTGCCTTTTTTCTTTAAATTGACAGTTAAGCAAATATATGCAAACATTTGACAGAAGCTGGGGCAAAGGAGAACCCACAATATTCTGTGGTAACAGATCCAAGGTTGGATGTGTAAATGATTGCAAATCCCTACGAACCTCCTGCAATCCAAGTTAAGGCCAACACCCCAATTTAAGATTTCAGAAGAGAACAGACCTCAAGCATCAGGACAGTGGTTGTTTTGGATGGTACCTGCTCGGGGAATTGCAGCTGCCGCCCCTGGGCCAGATGCTCAGCAGCTCTGCAGGGTCAGTCCCTCTGTGCCCTGGGGTTGCAAATGATGTTGTGGAGCCCTGTGACCTGAACATAACCCCTGCCAACCCCTTTCTGTTTCTCAGTAACCAATAGTCATTGTAAGAAGGTTTCCACATGTGTGATGGCAAAGGCAAAGGCTGTTCCCAAGTGTTTCTCATGTAAGATACTTGAATGCTGTTTGCAGTGTCAGTGGGTGTTGGTGACATCCTTTGGTGTTGGTTCTTTGTCTTCTTTTGGTTGGATTAGTTGGGGAAATTTGGTATCAAAAGCCATGGATAAACTTCAAGCCCTTTTACTGTTTCACTTGCTTTGTCAGAGATACAAAGTACAGATCCTTTTCTTATAGAGAACCTGCATGAAAGAAAGCCGAATTTTCATTAACCCAGCAAAAAGAACCAGGCCTATTTCTCTTTTTTTCCTGACTTTAATGTCCCAGAGGTTCTGACACCCTGGTGGGAGATGATATTGGAATGTTCAAAGTGCCTCATAGGAGGTCCAACAGTTCAGATCTTACCACCTGTGATCCAGGGTGATCCAACTGGAAATGGATTCCCTTTTTCTGTTGGAGAGGAGGTCAAAAGCCTTTATTTATGATGCTGAACATCACATACACTTGTGTGCAGCTGGCTGTCCTCAGCAGCCCAGCTCAATGCACTGTTTAGACTGAGGTTTCCTTTTGACTGGCAGCTTGCCCTGTACCTATTTCTGTGACATAATTTTTCAAAAACAAACACAGAGTTGTTCTAAAGTCCATCTCTGTCACCCTGCCACTGTTCAGGGCACCTAGAAATGAAGGACAGCTCTTTGGCTTGTGTCTGTTGAGGAGCTGATTCATCTTCTGCCTTGGCTGCTCAGAGACCTGCATCTCTCTCTTGATTTTTCTCAGCCACATCAAGATTTTAGTTTGCTTATGATTCAAAAGAAGGACCACAGATATTTGGATTTTTTTTTTTTTTTAATGGCAGAACTTAATAAGGTGAGATATGCCAGTTGTAATTTTGGGAAAGATGGAGTACATCTTTGCTGGCAATTTTTCTTTTTAAGATAGTGGAAAAGCAGGCTTTTTATTGTATATACTGCTTGTCCAACACTTACTTGAAAGAAATTTGAATAGGAGTGCTGGCTACAAGCATCTTTAGCCCACACAAAAAAAGTCTTTTTTTATCAATAGGGTTTACATCTAAATGATGAGAAAATAGAGCCCTAGGGCTAACTCTGAGGGTTATAAGTTTATATATCAACTTATAAGGGTTTAAGCAGCACATGCAAGTTAGAAATCCCAGCAACCAACTTCACAGCAATAGTAGGAGGCTTTGAAATCTATCCATGGCTCTCCAGTGAAATTGTTTCCTTCCAAACGAGCTGTCCCATGGCTGGAAGGGTTCAGGTGCCGAGGGAGGATTTGTTCTCAAGCTGACAGCAAGTGAGAATCATCACAGCTGTTTAGACAACAGAGACCTAATTCTCACTCCATTGCAACAAATAGCACTGAGCAAAAGGTGCAAGGTGGGAAGAGTCATGGAGACTGACATGCCCAGCTGATGCTTATCCCTAAAATATTCCTAAAGCTGTGCTGGCCATGGCTGGAAGGGAGGCAGGGCAGCCTGATTTCCTTGGCTTCTACCCCGAGATCTTTGTTCAAAGCACTTTTTCTGGGAAGTTTAGTGGTGGGGTGAGCACTGTTGACTTTCTCACACCTGATTTTGGTGTGTACAGGGATAGGATGTGAAGGTGCAGTACCCAGAGATTGGGACTTCCAGCCATGGGATACTTTTTCCTTTACCTCAGAGTCCGTCTTTCATTGCAGTGTGGACCAGAAGAACAGTTTTGTAGCAGATCAGTGACATTCTGAAGTTCACACTAAATTTCTGTTCTTTCTGGGAGTAATAACAATGGCTAACAATGGATTTTTCTGTGTGGGCTGCTTTCCTCTCGCAAATCTCTCCAGCATTTAAATGAAGATACAGTAGCCACTGTTCACATATTAATCTCCTTGATGACAAAGCCACCTCTTTGTTCTGGTGTCTCTCCTAATATGAGTTACACCATATAATTTGTATCTAGGATTTGCTTCAATCACAGTCTTACATTCCTGAGACACTGATGTAATGCAGATTATCCAGAAAGATTGGTGTGTGCCAAAGTAACTGTTCCCAAGGTGGAGTATACTGCATACAGCACTATAAATTATCAAATAATGAAGTTCTCCTGTTGTATTTTCAAAGCTTCATCTTAACAGGCTGATTTATGGGTGAAATTACTAAAAATACTGCCTGATAGTTGCCAAATCTCGTCAGTCTTTAACCAGTTCCTCATTTAAAGCAGAGCTTTAAGCCCAACCTTGCAAACCCCTGCCTTGCAGACAGTTATCCTCAGACCTGACAGAGCTTTGAGAGTCCTTGGCTTGGGGCCAACTCTCAGACTTTTTTTGGTCTTTCTAGCTGACACTTGATAATCTTTCTGGCAATTTGCAGTTACAGTTTGCTTAATAAAATGTGCCTGGAAAACACTGGAGGTGTTTTCCAGGTGCAGTTATCTCAAAGATCAGGAATCTGTGACCAGAAGCCTCACACCAGCTCCCAGGACCAGAGTGGAGGGGTGGTAGTGACCCGAGTGTGTTCCTGTGGCAGATTTGCATGGATGATATTTAGTCTGTTTGCAGTAGGATTTGACCACTAACTCACACAGTATTGCTGGAGGCAATGAATGAGAGTGTTAAGATGCTCCCAGTGGGGACATGCCCAAGAGTTCTGCTTCACCTCTGAAAGGACAGGTGGGATCATACAGCTGCAAAGCAGTTTGCAGTTCTCTAAGAGGAGAGGGAAGGTCAGCAGGCAGGTTTGTGCCACGTGGTCTCAGTGAGTTAACACAATATGCTTTTTCTTGTTCAGGAGCTGTGAATACAACCCCCCAAAGCCATCAATCAGGATTAGAAATTACATGAGGAGAAAAATCTGGTATAAGACCAAACTAAACAGTCCCCAGAACTAATACACTATTAATAGCACACACTTCACTCTTTACTATTGTAAAAAGTAACATGAAAATCAACTTTTCCACGTGGTGTTTCTCTCATGGCACAGTGATGAAATGAGAGTGTATTTATGGCTCGAGCTGAGCCTGCAGCACAGCTCCACTGCTCACTCACCTCTGCAGTGTGACACACTCCTGGCTGCTGCTGGGTCAGGGGATGGATCCAAAGTTCACTAAGTTAGTGACTGGCTTCCACTAAATTCACAGTAACTTTGTCTCCAACCCCTTCATGATTTAGCTCTGGGCGTTTGTATCTGGCATGTGGCTTAAAAAATAAATAAGTAAATTAATAGTCCCCCAGTAGGTACATTAAATTACCTGAAACTTGGGCATGTTCCAAACTGGTTTGCTAAGAGGGGTGTTCAGATGTGTCTCAGGGGCTGCTCCCTTTTGACAGACCATCCCTGGTCACACCTTTGCTGTGTGCTCATGTCTGGTGGTGGTGGTTGGGTGGGTTTTTATGCAGGTGCATGGGGTGCAGTGGGGATGTTTGATATCTGAAACACTCAGGTTTCACTGTAACTTGGTATCTCAGCTGTTGAAAAACCAACTCCTGGCAATGTCTAGAATAAAACCCAACATCTGTTTGCTTTGATTTCATAGCAGATTTCGGTATTACCTTTAAAAAATTGGCCCTGGAAGTAATGATTTTTCCTGGTGAATCCCAGTGTGTAACAGCAGCTGGGAGAGCCACTGCTCTGGCTTCTGTGCACAGACAAGGTTTGCAGCTCTGCTGCCCCTCTCTCTGGTTTTCCTGCAAGGGATGACTGGCTGTTCCTGAGATATCCTGAGTCAAGGGAGAAGTAAGTAAGGAGGAACAAGTGCAAAGAGAACTGAGCTGAAGGGTGAGATGAAAGTGTCATTCAGATACAACAAGAGGGAGTGTGTCTTTCCCAAGTCATCTGCCCAATGCACCTGATGAAACCCAAGAACTCAAGCCTTATTCAGGAAGTGAATATTCAGGAAGTGAATCCACAGCCTGAGACCCAAAGTCCTCATCTGTCTCACTCCATGTCACAATGGTGAGAGAATCACTTACTCCTGACATGCATAAGGCTGTCACCATCCTTTGAGACCCCCCTGTATCAGCACAGCAGAAGCACAGCCCTTCAGCTGCACTTACATCCCTAAAATAGCTCCCCAAACACTGCTGAATGTAGAGGAGTCACTGCTCTTCATGCCAGCATTTCTCTAACCCATGGCTCTGAACTTCCCACAATTCCCATAAAGGCATCACTGACACAGAACAGTTTCACAGAGCCCTTTAAAGCAGAAAAGGGGCTGAGGGAACATACAGAATAAGCTGCTTAACATCTAAAAGAAAGGGGACAGCAATAACCCCCAAAAGGTGCCAAGTGATACACTGCAAAGTAAACTGGGTGGCCAATTAGAAGGAATCAAGTCATGGTTGTGATGAGATTAGTGTCATTTACAGAGGACTGATTCAAAATCCAATGAAGCCAATGGAAAAACTCTGCCTGGCTCCCAGACCTTTGAAATGGGCTCTGTGTTCCTCTGCTTTGTAGTTTAAAGGCACCACTTCCACCCCATGGAACAAGCCTGTAACTCCACATGTCTTTTAGCATGGGAAAATAGGCTACATTTCCTTGTAGCTCCTGATTATTCTTACAGTTATTCTGTTAGTTAGAGTTGCTGTTAGAAAAATTGTTTAGAGGTGAGCAGTGGTCAGTCCTTGGAAACCTTCAGCTCTGTTGTTGCATTAAATTTAAGCTGTTGAATTCCATTCAGCAACCTGATACCAAGGAGACCATTGCCATTGTATCCTCCAGAATTTTTATATGAAGCTGAAATGTGATAACAATTTTCCCCCCATCTGTTCCACTAATTCTCACTGTTTAGTTTTAGTGTCATGAAAATGTTTTGTGGAAGTGAGTCCTTCCTGACACTGACCACAACCTTGACTAGGGTTGGGGGTTTTTTTGAGGAGAAAACAGGAGCATCTGTTGGAAACTTCATTTCAAGGGTCTGTTCTGTGTAGTGTTGCTCCTGACAGTGACACTTCACAGTGTCCTTGTGCATCCCTGCAGGAAAACCAGGGTGATTCAGAGGGTGCAGATCAAATCAGGCCCAACACAAGCCTGGAGTCACAACTGAGCAGCACTTGTGAGTTTCTCTCCCTCTTCTCGGGCTGAATTGTGAGTCAGGGCCACGCATGTCATGGCACTGAAACTTGGCTGCCAGCTCAGGGATCCCATTTGCAATGTTTCTCACTCAGTCCCCAAGCCTGGAGTTGAGTTTTCCACAGGGAGATATGGAATGTCTGCTCTCACTCCCCTCTCCTCTGTCGCCACAGGTTACATCGAAGCTGCCGTGATCCCTGCGGGTGCCCGGCGCATCAGAGTGGTTGAGGATAAACCTGCTCACAGTTTTCTGGGTAAAAAGACAAAAGAAAAAAGAATGTTTAGATTCAAGCTCAGCTCTGTTTTCTGTTAAAATGACCCTTCTCTAACTGCCCTGTAAGAGGATAGGTTTGTTGCTGCCAGGGAAGCATCTGTTGATTTCATTCTTGTTGCAGTCTCTGCTTTTGTGGCTTGGTTTCATGATGTTTGCTTGATGTGATAGTTTGTGACACTTACAGGCCCTGTGCAACCTGAAAGGGCCAGAGAATACTTTTATATATAGACAGAAGAGTTCCTGAACAGAACTTGGCAGTGGGTTGGACACGGCTGCCAGGAGCACACAGCACTTTGGGAGGGAGCAGGGAAGAGAACAGTGTGTTTGGAGAAAGAAATGGCAGAGACACAGATAGGAAGGCACCCAGCTCAGGCTGAAGCAGAGGCAGGACAGGGCAGATGATATCCCTCAATAAAGTGACCTGTTGCCTGTGCCGTTTCCTGCAGCAGCAGTTGTTCACTTGATGCTGTACCCAAAACCTGATCCTGCACTCTGAGATGGGCTGACTCTTCTCCACTTAGCTCTGTTTTCTCAGGCCAAACAATTTGTTTAATCCTCTTCTCATTTCTACTTCTGTATTCCTTTTGAGGGGAACAGGCTTCCTCTCCTCCTTTTCCTATTGGAAACAAAGAATTAGACATGGCTGTGAGGCTGAGATTTGCATGTGAGGTTGTTGTAGGGCAGTCTGTCAACAAATTTGTTGTTCAGTTACTAATTTCTTAGATTAAAGATTAGAAAGGCATTTGTAAAATGCATCCAGTCAGCTACACTGAACATCTGGTCTTCCGCCTCTTCTCTCCAATATTTGGGGTGTTCCTTTTTTGTGTCATTACTGTGCAATAGATGAAGGGCTTTATCTCCCATCTACTTCTAGGGAGAGCAAGTCACAGAAATGCTGATGCCCCATGGCCCCAAATTCACACTGGGAGCCTGTGGCAGAGCAGGAAGTTCAAGGAAAATTGGCCAAGATCCAGAAAAACACCCAGCACATTGAAGTGTCCTTTGCACACTCAGAGCTCCATGGCCATGGAGTTGCTTCCAGAGATATCTCAAGTCTGTGGTAGGAACTCTGAGAGGATTACGAAGCTTGTCACTCTGAAGGGGATTCAGTAGCAAAACTCAGCCTAGGACCCTTGGGTTCTGATTTCCACATCTTTTGCTTATAATGCTCCATCCCCACAGCCAAAAGGAGATGTTACTGTCCATCACTGGGATACAGGATGACACTGAAAACATTTACATAGTGACTGTATCTTAGGATTTCGGGTCTACTGCCACTGGCTTTCCGTCTTGAGATGCTTCCAGACTTGGCGATATCACTGGCAAAGATGCTTTTGTTCCCTGTCTTTCACTCCAGATTCAGGGGGGAAAAAGAGGGTAAATCATGTCACTGAGCTGCCCCTGGGTCCAAACCATTGCCATTTGTGCCACGTACCACTCCTCTGGTATTTCCACCAGTGCTGTAGCCAGGCTGCTGGGAGGGGATTACGCCTACATGTAACATGTTTGACATAGCAAAGCTTGGTGGAACAATGAGAGCCAGTGTTTCCTTGGGTTTTGCAAATGCTCTGCCTTCTGGAAACCAGCCTTTTTGTTTGTCTTGGTGGGGTTTGCACAGGGTATTTGTCCGGGGTTTGGGCTTTGGCAGATAGTGGAGTTCAAAGTCTTACGTGCAGTGACTGCCCTTCATTGGGACAACGTAACCTTGACTAAAGCAGATGTTTCCCCACTGGGTGGTGAAGATTAGGATTGTGTATATTTGAGAGCAGGACTTGGCCCTGTGTGCATCACATAAAGACAGATAAAAATGTGGCTATTTTAAAGCTTCTGAGTGCTTTTAGCTCTTTGGTTCGTGGTCAGGAGCCAGGAGAACCTCTCTAAGCTTTCCAGGGTTTTCTCTTTCAAGGGACACTGGACACAAAGAGAAGACACCCAATGTCTTGCTAAACTAAGGTGAAGAATAGCAGTAATGGGGTTCCAGTAGGACAATAAAGATGACCAAGAAAACAAAATCCCATCACTCTGATAAGTTTCTTGAATACAGGTCTGTGTATGGAAGAATTTTCTATTTCAATAACACTGACAAAGCTGAGTCCAATCAGGTCCTATTTCTACTCAGAACCGGGTACAGCGCTTTGGAAAGGAGCCCAGCATAATTTGGAATCATTATTCCATGTGCTGGGAGCAGTGCCTGAAGAATTTCCCTCCACCTCCAGGCAACCCACGCTGGCTGCCTTGGCTGGCTGCAACACTGAAAAACCACCTTGAACAGGAAATGCCTGGGCAGTTTGTGTCCACAGGCTGGGAAGCAAGCTGGAGAGACCCAAGGTGGATATAAAGATCTGACTGGATGCCAGCTTTAGAAATAGATGGGTCAGTTCCTGTCTTCCGGCCAACAAGAAAAACAGAAGTTACAGGTTGTTGCTGGGGTTCCTATTCCTTCTGCTCTTCTACTGCACAGCTTTGAGTTTAGTTCTGTCACCTCTGGGGCTGGGCAGAGCCAGGCAATAGTCGTGTGTGACAAAAGCCACTGGAGAAAAAGGAAGTTCTTTGTGTCTTAAGGTACATGGAGGTTTTACAGCTGCAACATTATCTCTACTGATGGGGCGCTTGGTACAATGAAGGCAAACAGTGGTGAAAACACTTTGGCCCAGATGCTCTGCTGAGCCTCCAGTAGAATTCCTGCAGTCCTCAATTTGGGAACAGGTCTGTTTCCAAACTCTCCATCTCCTCAATGACTGAGGGAGCAGTGCCTGCAGCAATCAAAGTCAAACCTTACCCAGAAAAGAGGTTCACGAAGATTAAACGTTTCGGTTTTCATCAGGAATCTGTCTTCCTTTGATGGGGAGCTGGAACCAAAGCATGGTTTTAGTCATTCAGTTTTGAGCATGTGCTGGGATATCTTTGCTAGTCAGCCATGGAAATAGCTTTATCTCATCCCCAGCTTTGATTAGTCATGTCCACAGCTCCTCGAGGCGGCCTGATGGCCGCTTTGATCTGCCTGGAAGCCACTAGGCTTTGGCAGAGGGAAACAATCCTGCTTCAGAATTTTGTCTGAAGCTTGCAGAAGGTACTTTGTAGATGGAGGAACAAAGCAGGAGGAGAAGTGAGGTGCAGACAGAGTTCTATTGCTGTAGCATGCAAATACCAGGACACCATCATACCCCCAGGCTGTGTGCCAAAGAGAACTTTCCTCGGAAAAGAACGTTCTCCCACGTACATCCCACTTCTCCTGGGGAAAGCACACCTGCAGTTTCCCTTGACACTGATTTTGGAGCCTCTCATGGGACCATGGGAGCTGTCAGGAAGCTTGTGTGCAGCAGGACACAAAGGTATTCCACCTTTTTCCAGTAGCTCCCCAGGGTACAGGTCCTCAAAACGGCACATGCAGATGCAGAGAACATTGTGACCTTCACTTGTTCCAGACTCCCCCAGAGCTCAGACACTACAAATGATATGTATATGCTCAGCACACCTAGGAGGGTTTGCTGCCTGTGGAGGCTTGATCCAAAGAGATGACAGTGGCAGATTCCCTGTTGGCTTCCAAAGGCTTTAAGCAGCTCCTCTTACCTCCTTGCATCACACTCAGTTCAGTGAAGGCCAAGGTTGTGTTCTGGGCTGGAAGAGAATAAAACGGGCATGAAATGCTGGAGGTTAAAAAAACCCCTTGTTAAAGGCTTAGCCAAAGGACACAGTGAACCTTGAACTAGGGAAGCTCAGTAACACAGGGGATATTCTGTCTGTCTGCTGTCAGGGCACATTTGAGCACGGTCATGGATCTCCACAAAGGGGCCTGGCACTTTCTGCTGGAACAGGAGCTGCCAATTTTCTCTTCCCTCAGTGCATCACAGCCCCTCTGGATAACTGTGCTTCCGTTCCAATGGAGAAAGCACATCAATCCCTAAATCAGCTTGCACTGATGAGTTAGCAGGAATGGGATGTCCTTGTAGCTGGAGTTATCTTTGAGTGCTTGAAGGATATCAGTGATCCTGATGCAGTAGTTATGCTGGAAGAAAGGACATGCTCCTAAAGATACTCCAAGTATCTTTTCTTCTCAATACTCATTTTCCTTCAGCAGTAGAGCTTTCCATGTTGGCCTTACTGATGCATAGAGGCACTGCCTGGCAGGACGGATGTGATCCTGCAGCACCTGACCTTGTGCATGTGTTTCCAGCTCATGGACTCTGAAAAGGGGTGGCCAAGTTCACCTTCTGTCCACTGACCAGCCTCTGCTTTGTAACCTGGCTTTTCTTTACATCTTTGACAGTTAAATGTTCACATGTTCACTGTTTGAATTACGGAGCACACACAAACTCAGGATCACTTGTATTTTGCACTTGCAAATCTTGTATCAGCACGGAGATTTGACTGATCTGTTTCTCAAGGAAAGTTTAGGAAAATACCGTCTCAAAAGCTGGAAACTAAAAAAAAAAAATCTGCTTGGGAACTAAATTGCAGAGTTGTCTTGTTGCATTTGGAAGGAGAGTTTAGAGATAAGTGATCTATGAATTCTATGTTAATGCTTGAAACACCTTCATCAACCGAAATACAGAATATATCCAAGTTAGACACATTGAGTCACCTAAAAGTGTATTTTCTTTTAATTTAAACTCAGATCTGTTACGCAGTTACTGCATCCTGTGCTCCAGGTAGCCTCAGACAAAGACTCAATAGCCTGTGTTGCAATTACAAATTTGCTTGCCTTTCATTCCGTGGTGTTTGGTTCATTCCAGCTCTAAAAGATTCCAGTAAGAGATCCATTAACAGCGACTGGAAAATTGAGCTTCCCGGTGAGTTTCAGATCGCAGGCACTACTGTCCGGTACGTGCGGAGGGGTCTGTGGGAGAAAATCTCTGCCAAAGGACCAACTAAAATACCACTGCACTTGATGGTAACTTTATATCCTTTGTTTGTGTTTCTTAAATGATGCAACGTAAAGGGTTTATGTCCTTGCTGAAAGTTAAATTTTGATTGTTTGCTCCCTCACCACAGTGTTTTCAAGCTATGCTGTAGTGCCCCTCTTTTTTGTTGCAAAGGCTGGAGAATCCCAGCTCCCTACTTCAAAATAAGTGATGCTCTGTCCTGGGAGAACATTCAGTGCCCCAGTAAACTCATGTCCAGTACAGGATACCCCTGTAATGTGTCACACTATGTGACACATCCATTCCAGAGGATGTAGGTTCCCAGAGACCTTTTTTATTTCACGGACATGCCTGATCACACACATAAAAGGATATTTGCTGAAATACCTTCTCGTCTTATGCCAGAATATATTCTGTGTTTTAATACACTGTTCTCTAACAGAAGACATGCATATTTAGCATGTGCAGATGATACATGTGAATTCGAATCTAAGTAGTGACTTAATTACACACAGAAATGTTCCTTGTTTTCTTTATATTGTTTTTTCAGTTGTATGTAATTTAAGGTGTTTTTTGAAAGTTTTCCCTAATGTTCAACATAATCCTTCTGTTAACGCTGTCATTTTATAAACACCCTCATGGCTGCTGTGTGAGAACAGGAGTGAGAAGTCCACAGGGGTGAGAAGAGCAGGACTGTAGTCCCAGAGCTGTCACTGTGGGTGATGGGGTGACCCATGGGCCAGGCCCTTAACACTGGTGTAACCTTAATGTTGTCATCTATAAGACAGCTGTAATGATGATGCCTGTCTCTTATCTGTGTTCCTAGTTGAAAGTCTGCAAAAAGCTTTGCAGTTTCTATAGCAAGGTTTGCTTAGAAACACGGAATATTTTAATGTGTTCATTGTTTCCTGTTACTTTTTTATCCACTTGCATTTTTCTCTGTGCTGTTTCTTTTCCTTGTGACTTTTTGTCATATTTATTCACTGAAGGCCATCTGTAAGCACTGCTAAAAATCATTTTCTCCCTTTCCTCACCTGATTTTTTTGGCTTGCTGGTGTTCGTTGTGCAACGTTTCCTGACCCAGTTTGAAAAGCTCCAAAGATGCTTTTCACACACACACAAAAAATAATAGTTATACACCACTTTGTCAGTACTTTCTGTGTGTCAAAATATGCTGCATAGGAACATGGGGTGTTTTGTCTTTGCTTTCTCAGATGAGTGAGTTTACCAGGTTCACAGACCAGTGTAAAGCTGGATTCCAAGAGCTGGAATGGTCAGGGGGCAGGTTTGGGCACACCAGCACTTTCCTGACTCGGCCACATGGTTCAAAGTCTGCCCACACAAAGGAGGTGTGTACAGGCACCTTCTTCATCACCAGAAACATCAGCTTCTGCTTGACTTTGGCCTTAACACAAGTCTTCCCTCCTGAAACCAGGACTCTGACAAAGTATCTTGTACTGCCAAGGTCTTCCTAACCCCCTGTGAGAAAAAGGAGTTGCACAGGTACCGTTTGTGAACATGCTGTGCAGGGTTCCTTTGGCAGCTCTTGGAACCTCCTGGGGCATGACTTGGTTGAGGTCTAGTGCAGTAAAGTCTGGTTATCAGCATTTTGTGAACCTCAGCATCAGTATAGTGTTGGTTTTAAAGAAATACTCAGGTCCCCTCTGTTAAGGAGTAAGTAGCTAACATAAGAAACTAGTGATTATGAGGTTCTCCAGGAGAACCTTTCCAGGTACAGACTGGCACTTTCAGCAAACATAAGCAGAGGAAATGTTCCTTCTTCACCTTCCCTCACAGAAATGATTAAAAATGAGGAAAGTAAAAATTACCAGACCACTAAAAAACATGTGGCTTAAAATCCCTGCCAGTGGTAAACAAAGCACAGATGAAGCCTTTGCTTCAAATCAGATACTAATCTTTTCCTTGATACGGGGTAGTGGGTTTCATTCTTTCAACACAAGAAAGGCAGGATGGTTACCAGTTCCCCCTAAATAGAAAACTGTTGTTCAAACAGTGGTGGAATACACTGGGCTGAGAAGGAGCCAGAAGCTTCAGTCAGTGCGTTGTGACCTGCATTTGAAACCAATTATCCCCACGTACACACCCCCCCCAATTATACATGGCTACAAAATTGCATGAAATTGGTTTCATATGGGCCTTTAGATTCACTAGTCTTGCACCCATATTGACATAATAAGGATTTCTTTTTAGGAGCTGGTTTTTAATACTTGAGGCATTTCTCCAAGTGCATTGCTGTAAGTGGATTTCTTGGAGAAATTAATGTTTGTGTAACTAGGCCTGTGCTAGTCCTGCTCTCACAACAAACACTCCCAGAGCAGAAGGAATCTTGAGACAAGGCTGAAGGCTCAGTTCTTTAGAACAAGCTGTTTGTATCTCGTGCACTTCAGGAAAGCCAGAGCAGGACTGGAGCTCTCTGCCTCTGCCTGGTGTTTGAATTGTGTTTAAAAAACCAACGTTTATCTTTGAAATTGTAATGATGAGCACTAGTATTCAGTCCTGGTAGTAAGGCTCCCTCTGTAGCTGAAGCAAAAGCATATCTTTGTTCCCCACATCCTCTGGAAGAGGCTTTTTTCTGCCCAGGGTGTAGAGCAGCTCATGGGTGCTGAGTTTGTAGTGCACCCCCAGTGCTCATGCAGGCTGCCACATCATCACATAGTGATTTATGTGGTTAAACAAGCACCTGACAGCTTTAGTGAGATTATTGGTTAAGCAGGAATGATTTGTGCAAATCTGAAGGGGAAACAATTACTATTGGGACAAAATAGCATTTGCAAATTTGTCTTTTTTAATTGGGCAGCTGCTTGCTTCACTTATGAGAGCCCTGCTTAAAATATCTTGTTGGGTAAGGCATTGCTTCCATTTCAGTGGGTGTCAAAAGCCAGCACAATTCACCTGTCTAATGCTGCTGCTGAAATTATGGGATAATAAGTGTGAGTAAGTCTAAAGCCACAGCATCAGCATTACAGTAGTACTTCTGTGGCATTTGTTAATAGTGTGATAACTCAGATTCCATGGACCTCACACTCCACTGGATATTTTCTAGTCACTTCTGACTCAAGCCAGTGAAAGTGAGATCCAAACAAAGCCCAACATGTAAATCAAAACAGGACCAGAAATCTCATCTGACTGTGGTGAAAAAATAAGCATTTTTCTCTCTTCCTCTGTTAATAGTGAATTTTAGAGTAATAACACTGGAGACATCACATGTGACTCCATGGGAAATAGCCTGCTGCTGGAAGCAGGTTTCACCTTCCTCTGGCAATACGCAGGCTATGAAAATACGTGCTGCCAGCAGCTCTATGATAGGGCTCTTCCTCGTCATCCTCAGGCCTCTGAGGCAATAAAATCCTGCTGCCACAGCTTGTCAGCAGCAATAGTCACACTCACTGTGAGTGCCACATTTCCCAGGAGATCTGTGACTTTTTTTGCATTAGCTATTTTTGCTCTGAGAAGGATCACCTTGACCTTTCAGATGTGTTAACTCTGTAGATGCTCATTAAAATAGTTGCTGTATGAAAAGTGTTGATTTAATGCTTTCTGTTGTCTTACTGCTTCTCTTTGGGTAGTCAGTGGCCTGTTGATTGCACATAAGGCTTAGAGTTCTGCCCTGAATTTCAGGTTTAGACATCTCCATGGCTGTTTTAAATATTCACAAATCATAAGCAGTTGTTGCTCCCGCAGTGCCCTGTTTTACCGATGCCACTGTAATTTCAGGTTTCTAGGTAAAGATTTGGTTGCCTTTCACAAGGTATATTTTATGTTTTATGTTTTAGAAACCTTGGCCTGAGCCAGCATTTCCAGCATTACTGTCTCCACAGTCTGTTGGCTTTCCCAGTACAGTGTGTTGTAACTGCCTTTCTTTTCCTGCCGAACCAGGTGCTGTTGTTTCATGACCAGAATTATGGGATTCATTATGAATACACCATTCCTGTAAACTATACTGCTGAAAACAGGAGTGAGCCAGAAAAGCAACAGGATTCCTTGTACATCTGGACACACAGTGGATGGGAAGGATGCAGTGTGCAGTGTGGAGGAGGTAGGGATCTTGGGAAGCTTGGTGGGACTCGCTGTATGGGGTTTGCAGACACCAGGCATCAGAGAGGGGGATGGAAACTGGCCATGGGAATGGATGTTGTCATAATGAACTCAAATGAGAGCTCGTTCTCACCAGCTCTCCCAGCTCTCATCCCATCCCCTACAGTTAATTTTCACCCGGGATTTTGGCAGGGACTTGCTGTGTCGGCTCCTCACCATAGGCTGGAGCTGCACCTGGATTTGTGCTCCTCAGGTGGCTCAAGGCGCTGCTGCAGCCCCATATCTCAAACCCCCGTCACGTTCTTGGAGCAGAGTCTTCCCAGGTGTTCAGGCACGTTCACCAGGAGACACCTCCTTGCCCAGGGATGGAGCAGGGGCAGTGCTGCTGTGACAGTCCCAGGGTGGACGTGCTGGGAGTCCGGGAGCACACGGCAGAGCTCAGTTTTCACAGGATCCCTCCGATGTGCCGAGACAGATCTGCTGAAACCCTGAGGGGAGTTGATGCTGTGAAACCAGAGACTGGTTTGTCAGCCACTGTCCATTGAATTTTCAGTGCTGGAAGGAGTAGGTTATTCCCTGAGGAAAACAGATCGTTTCCATGCATTCTGGCCAGTCTTTCTTCACCAGCAGTCCCAGTTATTTATGATATGATGTGACAGAAGGAAAGAGGGCTCATCTTCACATTTGCAGGCTCACTGCCCTCAGTGCACTGAAACCATGGATTTATTTTTTTCCGTAAATAGAACTCATTTTAAAATAGACACTTTTACTCATGCATTAAAATAATAATTTCTGAGTCATTAAATCCTCACATGAATGAGTAGGAGATTTGTTTGTGGCTTTATTTTTTGTTGCAAGCTTACTATGTATTTGAATAAAATCAGTGTCTGCCAACCATGGCTCCTACCAGTGGTAGCTTGACAGTTGATCTTTTATTTTGGTTGCCAGATGCTGTTACTCCTTATCCAAGCTGGGAAGGGCCTTTTCTCTTTTTCCCTTCCAAACAGACTTTTACAAAATTTTTATTTACAGAATTTGAGGGGTTTTTTTATTATCTGCTGCAGGTCATGAATGAATAAACTCCATTTGATGCAGGCTCAGGGTTAGAAAGAAGCTCTGAGGAACCAAAATAATTAGCAGTGAGGCAAAGTCACACTGTGGAGGGGTGGCATTTTCCTTGTCACCTGTGGTCATTGTCATGCTGCCCTGTGGCCCAGCTTTCCTGTGGTCACACAGGGGAAGGCAGAGCCCTGAGGGCCACACTGCAGTGTCCTGGGGAAAGACACTCCTGATGTGAGTTTATGTGAGAAATGCTGAGATGTATCCTACTAGCAGGGCTTTTAAAGCAGTATATCTGGAGGACCAAAAGATGAGATTTTCTTACTTTGGAGATTTAATTTCAGCTCTTTGTGAAACAAAACCGAGCCCAGTTAATCTCTCTTGAACTTCCATCACTCCTTTTCAACCCAACTGTTCCTGCCTGGAAGCAGCAAGAGGCAGCTGTCCTGTGGTTATCAGCACATCTGTCTGAGGGGATTACAGGGCACAGCTACCTGTGGGGGAGGAACAAGAAATGAAAGCAAATTGTTTTCAAGATGTTTTCCACGTTAAACACTAGAAAGAGAAAGCCCAACCTGCTGTCCCTGTGAAGGAGTCAATTGCAGAATTATTGGCTAAAGATTTGTAGCTTTTCTGGGGGGGGTGGAAAAAGAGTACAACGGTAAGGCAGAAGTGGAGAATAAAATTGCTTGCAGGGCACAGTCTTGTAGAGGTAGCAGGGAGCTCCAAGCTGCTGAGTTTTGGTTAAGGAGTTGACAGGGTTTTGTTCAGAGTTCTTTTTCGTTTGACTTGTAGGTGAAAGGAAAACCATTGTGTCCTGCACCCGAATTATTAACAAGACCATGACACTGGTGAATGACAGTGACTGCCAGCGAGTGACACGCCCCGAGCCCCAGGTCAGGAAATGTAACACACACCCCTGCCAGTCACGGTAAGGAGCTAAAAACCACTGCAAACCAATATCCCTTCCCTTCAGAAATCACCCATTTCCAAAGCCTCCATCTGGTGAACACAGTGAAAATGTCTGAAAGCATTGGGACACATTGTTAGCCACAGTAAGCAGCTGTAATATTCATTTCCTTTTGTTGAGCAGGTCAGATTTTCATTACCTCAGACAAAGCCCATTTAATCTGTGGCCAGCAAGGCCAGATTCCATGCAGGCTGCCTCCATGCATTGTTTGGGGATGGTTTTCTTTTCCCCTTGGCTGCCTCCTGGGAGACAGAGCAACTTGCAGTGTAAAGTTAGACAAGAGTCCAGTGACTGCATATCTAACCTTTTCCTTTCCTGAATCAGCACAGAATAGGGTCTAATTAACTGTCAAACAGTGCTACCAAAAAAAAAAAAAAAGAACTCAAGAAATTATGATGAAACACATTTTAGATACCTTCTTCAGTAGGAGTGCTTTTCTCTTCAGTAGGAGTAATTAGGGATCTAATAGTAATAAGTTTTAAAAACAATAAAAAGCTCTCTTTCTGATTTGGCAAGCAGTTTTAGCTGAATTACTTTTGATCTGCATTGTGTAAAAAAAAAGACTTTTCTGGCCAAAATGAGGAAACACAGGAAGGTACATTAATTTGTTCAGTTTGTTTGCTAACAAAAAAGTTCGCTCTTGCTCTGCAGTAATCTTTAGCATTGTAGGCTACCATAGACTCTCCAATTTTCATAGTAGTTATAACATAAAATCAGTTTAGAATAAAGCTGAAAAATACCTTAAAAATCATATTCAAACAAACCTGCTGGCTGTTGCATCTTTTATATTCAGACAAGCCAGGGAAATGCTCCTACAAAGCTAATCCTCCTTGCAGAAACAATGGGGAAAATGACAAACAGCACACTTCCTTCTAATTAGACCTGCACTCTGATTAAAGTGCCCTGGAGCAGGGAACTCCAGTGTCAGGTCATCCATCAATAAGGCCAGGCTGGTTCAGGTTTCAGTTTCTGCCTGTTATTGCTGCTGTACAATATTGTGGCCACACAGCTTTCAGTACTGAAAGGTAAAATGAGATGCCCCCTGAGCTTCCAGGTGTGTAAGGAGAGCCAAACTCCCAGTGGCTTCGAGGAAGCAACTGGCATTTCCATGAGGAAGTTTCCTAAATCCAGTGATGCTGGGATTTCTGTCATGTCACTCTCAGAGAGAAACAAAAAGCATCTGCTTTTGTTTGTACCCTGCCATGAAATACTCCTAGACCTTTTATGAAGTCACTGTGAGGAGGCTGGAGGAGGCCAAGCAGGTACCTGGAGGGCATCCAGGTGGTGGAGATGAAAGAAAAGCAACTTAAAAAGCTCTAGAAGACGTGGGCAGCTTCTGCCTCTATCAGGAGGGCAGAAAAGGGAGGTCCTGGCTGTCAGGTCTGCTATAGCCCCAAGACCCACAGGGCTATTTCTCAGGGGGATTCCATGACCCTGAATGAGCCCCTGGATGTCTCCTCCTTGTTGCACACTTCCACCATGGCATTGCTGCCTGTCCAGGTCAGGATAAATCACACAAAGCCTCCTGAGAAAGGATTACTCTGTTCCTATAACCAGATTTGGAGAATCTCCTTTGGAGATTCAGGTCCAGTCCTTATTCCAAGGTATCTCTTCTTCTGTGTGGGGTTACCAGGCAGTTTACAGCCACAATTTAGCAGAGTTCTCCCCAGGAACAATCAGCTCTGGCACAGTGTTCCTCTTGTTGGTCCTTTTTTCCAGAGCAGTGACAGCAGAACCAAATGCTCTCAGTACCCGGAAAGGCCACAGAATCCTTGCTGATGATCTGATAGACCACACTCCCTCCCTCCCTCCGTGTAGGCTACACTTTCACACTTAACATGCTTTTAACTGGGAACATTTTCAGAAGCACATTCTCTGTGCCTCTGTAGAATTTAAATTTCCACTTGCGTTTGCCCACCCAGACATTAGAAATGCATGCTTAGCATATTCTCTGACCAAGAACATCTTAAAGAAACCATTCTCTTTTACCATGTCAATGCTTTTTTTATGAGCCCTGAATTTGTTTTAGGGTTTCAAGTAAAATTATTGTAGCATCTTGTTACAATAAGGTCCTTTCCCGTTTCCACTCAGACCTAAGCCCTTCACCTGAGTTCAGAAGAAGGAACAATGCTCTCCTTTCTCTGGTAAACCTGCTCTGTTTTGTGCATTTTGAACTACATTTACACTTTCACTCAAAATTTAAGAGAATCACCTTACAGAGTGTTTATCTCTAGAGAGGGGTCTCATGGCCAGCACAGGGCTGGGTCGGGGGACACTCAGTCTCTGTTTCCCTTTTGGATGTGCTGTGTGACTTTAATTCACTATCCCACACTGTCCCTTTGTTTCCTCCCTCAATCCATGTATGACCCAGATTACAAACTCTTTGGGATGGGCTGAGATCATGTTGTTTAAATGGAGGAAGAAGCTGTTGCTGTTGAGATTGTAATAAAAATAAAAAAAATAGTTACATTATATAAAGTGATCAGGAGAAAAAAAGGGTACGTTATTAATAACAGTGTCTTTCTTCCACCACAATCCCAAAGTGCTTTGTAAATTATATATCCCTTTGAACTTCAACCACCTCTTGAGAGAGCCAAATAATGTGGGCCAGGGACAGTAGTTTCACGAGGCCAAGGAGAAGATCAGAACTCTCCAAGTGCAACCCAGCATCTGAGAAAAACAAAGCAGGATTTAAAAATTGGTTGGATACGCTGACATGTTTTGAAATTAAACGTCACAGAAGAGAATTTTCTTAAGGGTTTTGTTGAAACTGGCAAAAATAAAAGAATCTTTCATTCTTTATTATTGTTACTCTTTCACCTTTTAAAAAAAAAGTGCCTCTTTTTCTTCCTATTTTATTTTTTATGTTCCTTGACCCTCTTTTTCCATTAAATTCTTTACAGCTTCCTTTCCTGTCCCAACTGCACCCTATTAGCACCTCTTTATTCTAATCCTCTGCCTAGCTCTTTAGGTATTTTTTACAAAACCCTGCTGTAACCAGATGGAATCTGGATTCCTGCATGTGGTGTGTATGGGCTGCTTCCAGGGCTCTGAGCACCAACCCAAATACGCGGCAAACCCAGCGCTGGGGCTGGCACCGGGCTCAGGAATCACAGATCACATCAGCTGTTATTACTGAAAACACAGGTCGGCCAGTGGCCACACAACTTCAGCGTGCATGGTTGGGGCTGGGAATGTGACACTGCTCCCCTCCAGTGCAGGAAAAGAACCAAAACCACACGAAATTTCCCAACTGTTGGACTTGCAGTGGAACGGCCGGTGAGCAAACGCTGGGGATTTTTGTGCTCTTCGCTGCAATGCATTTTCATGGAGGTTGAGTCCATCCAGGGACCTGCTGAATGAGTGCTGTTCCTACACCAGAAATCCCTGCCTGCATCTGCAGAAAGCCACAGGAGACCTGAGCCCTTAGTTTCACTGTTTAGGACTTGAAAATACCTCCTGAACCCAAGGGTTAGTTTTCTGCTTCCACCAGCAGCATGTTATAGACTCCCTTCCATAAACTGATTTTGCTCCACTGGCTCCTTCCCTCACTGGGAGGCTCCACTGTGACCTTGCTGTTCTTGTGGGTCAGGATCTTTTATTTCCAGCCTTAATTAGTCATTGTCATTTTTCAACCTTTTTTCTGTGCATCAGCTCTGTTCCTTTGCTTATACAGTGTTTTCCTTCCCTTGCTCTTTGCCTTGGGCTCAGTGCCATATGAGACAGCAAACCATTGTATCTCCTCCTTCCATCATTTTTCTGGGCTAAATCCATTACTTTAAGTTCTTACTGCTTTTTTTTCATGGCTGCATCATATTTGTGGCTTACAGTCATTGGAGATGTTTTCCTCCTCATTTTTTTCAGCCTATGAACCCTCCTTTAACACAGAAATGCCCGTTATTAGTCCCTAAGCACACAGCCTTGCACTCTGTGCTATTAATTTCCGTCCTATCTTTGTTATTGCAGTACTCAAGGTTATTCAGACCTTCCTGGATGACATCCTAATCCTCTGAGGTATTGACAGTGCTTCTACACTTTGTATTGTCAGCATTTTCCCTAATTTTTCAGCATTTTTCTTCTCTCTGTGCCAGAGTCATTAATGAACAGACTGAATTGGATCAAATGCAGGGCAGAGCTTTCAGGAAGTCCACTAGTAACTAATCTAAATTCCTTTCATACCTGATACTCCTTTGCAGTACTACAGGTGAGTGAGAGCCCGGCTCTCACCTGCCATATGAATTGCACAATTATATCCATGTTTCCCAGCATATCACCAGTAAACATTTCCCATGCAGCAAAAGGACTTCTTCACCAAACAGATTAAATCTACCACATTTCCTTTGTCTGCAAACCCAGTTATTTTAGTCAAAGAAATGCAGCCAGTGAGTTTTGCCTGAAGGAAGCCCATCCTGCATCCTTTTAGCACCATGTCCTTGATTATTGTTGCCCTCCAAATCCTCTGTAAAAGCTGGCACGCTGCTGAGGTCAGGGCTGTGGTTACATGGATCACTTCCTTCTTTCTTTCTTCTATTCCACTTTCACTTTTCCGTCCATGGGCTGGAATCCAACTCCGTCCTCTCCAAGGGCTCACGCACCACAACGGTGCCCAGGGGGGAAAAACGAAGCCAGTGGTAAGAGCCAGCCAAGGCCCCTCAAGCTGGCTCAGCACCTCAGCAGCCCATCCAAAAGGCTGGGGACTGCCAAAATACTGGTGCCTCGGTGTGGGGTGAGTGATAGTGCCCATTGCTTTGATTCCTGGTCTGATTTAAGCTCATGGAGTGTGTCCATATGACCCTGCTGACTGAGAGTCCTCCTCTCCCTTCAGACTCCACCATGTACCTGTAACAGTGCTGTTTAACAGCCCAAGAATACAGAAATCCCAATACAAAATACAGAAATCAGTCTGGCTCCCCCATTCTGGTCTGTTTGCACCACGTTTTATGTGTGTTCTCATTGCAGGT